ACAACATTCGACAGTAAGGCCTTTGATTAGAAGGCTTTCAGGGGCGTGGAACCTCCTCTTAATTGCTACTGTTTCTAGGTCCACCCTGACCCTGGGTGGTAGCACTTGTCAGGGTCTCACCTATGGGCAAATAGTTAACCCTTCAAAAGGAGTCAAAACACTATGAAAGTATAAAAATAATATAAAAATCCGTCATTGGTTGTGCTGTCACAAGTCATCGTGACCGTGTGTTTGAACATACCCTCCTTATTCAAACTGCAGATCCAGCCAGATTATGCAGTCTGACTTATAAATTGTAACTACATAGTTATAGTATAAAGCACAGGTTGGAAGAAAAACAAAAGTGCCTGAACAGATGCCTGCAACAGGGATTAGCAAGAGGCCCCGGCAGACGGGTGTAGTCGGAAACAAATAACCGATCATTATTAATGTAATAGTCAATATTTCTCGATACCAAAACTTTGGTTATTCGTATTTTATTATTTTATTAATCCAGCAGCCATTTGACCAAAATGAAAAAACAAAGAGGGCGATAAAAGACAACAAAGCGTAGTGCCGTGCAAAAAAATTAACTCAGTCAAATATTTTGGGAAAAATCTAGTTTTTTTTTTAATATTTGAGATAAAAAAAATAGTTTTCAAAAAAAATTGTGTAAAAGTAAGGAAATTGTCTGCAATTGTACAAGAATTTCTTAACAAACCTACAGCATGTTATTTTTTGTTTTTAAGGTAAATATTTCCTCTGCAAAAAAGTGGCTCATTAAAAAATGTCATTATTTTAAAAACACCTTGTAATTTCATTTCCATAATTTTATTCTCGAATATTCTTTAAAACTCTAGAAAGTCCTAGAATTATTTTAAAGTATACAAAAGAAATCAAAAATATAATTAGTGATTTCATATGAAAAGCTATAAGCACACACCGCAATCTGTTAAAGTAGGAATAGTTGCCCTATCAAAAGCTGGTAAATCGACCCGAGAAATTGCAAATAGTGTCAACACTTGTCAATCAACTGTCTTGAGGATTTTGAGAAACTTCAATTCCACTGAAACATTTGTCAAGATAGAAAATAGGGGTAGAAAAGATCGATGAGAGAACCGGTTGACAAATAATTAGAGAAATTAACCAAAACCGGTCAATTACGATTACAGAAATTGTTGCTACCTTGAAAAATGATCTCGAAGTAAGTGTCATCTCATCTACTGTACGCAGACGGCTCTTGAACGAAGGTTACAAAGGCTATTCAAAGGTTTTTAAGCTAAATAAAACACGTAAGGCTAAACGTTTCGCATAGGCAAACACTTACAAGTCCTTCACTGAGTCTGATTGGGAAAATGTTCATTTCTCCGACGAGACAAAAATTGAAATGGTTTCAAAAGACAAAAGAACAAAGATCAGACGGAGGAGCGAAGAAAACCCCTTGAAAAAGTACAGTTAATACTTTAAAGCATCCCGTCAATTTTATGGCGATTAGAGACGCGTTTAAGACAGGGAAAGGGGCACGTTGTACACACGTACAATTACCATTTGCCAATATATTCAAATTGTATCTTCATCTTCTTTTTGAAGACTTCTAAAGTCTTGACACTGACTGCTGAAGGTGGGACAGTGTCCCATTCATCCACTACCCCGTGAGAAAACAATGTTTTCGTATGTTCAGACGATAGGGCAGCAGTTGAAATTTGAATGGTTGTCATCTAATGAATTTATACTGGCTTTCAATGAAATATTTCTAGATTTCTATGGAATCATTTCATATTTTTACAATGAGGTTCATCATGTACAAGGCTTGGAAAACACTCGAGGTAGTGTTACAGAGTAAGACGCACAGTTTATGCGGATATATGGGGAAGATATTTACTATTCTAAACACCTGCATTAAAATAAATATAAGAAGGTTTTTTTTTTAATCATTTCACTACAAGCATGGCAACAAAGCTACTAACACGTACGTGTTACTTGGTGGGAAAGAACATAAGATAAAACGTGATTAAGGAACGAGAAAAATAAAAGAACAGAATTTAAGAAGACAGAAGATAACGATTGACATTGCATTTAAATTTTTGAAGATCAAATTTGACTGGAAAGCAAGAATCCGGGAGAGAGTTCCACAAGCGATAAGTGCGAGAAAAGAAATTTACATTTATCCATTTCAACTGAAAAATGATGAGATCTTCCCGCCATTTTAGTAATGCGCTTAAATTCATAGTTTGTGTAGCATACAGGAGAGTCCATCAGAACAGTATAAATGTTCCTGTGTATAAGTCGATTGTTCTATATAAAGCCAAAAAAAGCCATCCACTCCTACCTAATTTACAAAGTTGCAGCGATATGATAGGAGCAAAATAAATATCGTAGTGAAAGAGGAAAATGACATTACTGTTTAGCTTACTAACAACACTGTAGGCGACTTTCACCTCAGTGACGGCTGGTGAATGACTTTAGGAGATAGATTGACGGAGAGCAGTTGTGATATAGAGCCCGGAGAAGAAGGGTATCCCTAGCCCACAGCGGTAGGTCTTACAGAAAAAAAAAAACACACACACACACATGGCTTAACCAGATTCGTAGAGAAACCGCCGTATCTCCAGTTTTTCCCTTTGGGAAATACTACAAGTAAGGTTTCCCTTTCTTACACACTATTTGTTGTTGCATATATGTTATAATTTTTCTGCGTGGGAAACGTGTATATGTGTGTATATATCTAATGTTTTGTACATCGTGGTATTATAAAGCTATTTGAGAACTAATCGTGTTTGTTATTAGTGTTCTATTTTGCTATTCTGTTACGTCTGTGAAATATCATGGATATAACAATGCTTTACTGTTGGATATATGTGATATATTTACACACACACACATGTCTTGAGCGTGTTTTGAGAAATTAAAGCATTTTATAAAACATACATACAACAAACTATTTCTTATTTAACAGTTAAAATATTTAATCATTGAAAATGGCTAAATGCATAGCCGAAAGCGCTCGGATAAAAAGAATATTCGGACAGTTTTTATATAAAAATTATTAGATCGCATGAGAAATTGTATAAAAAACTAAATAAAAGCACCTTGTCTGTCGCATTCAATGAAAATGCACACACACACACACACACATATATATATATATATATATATATATATATATATATATATATATATATATATATATATATATATAGTTTATGCAAATTTAGGTAATCCGTATGGGTAGACCTGAGGAGGATGATATCCAGAGAGCTCAATGTAAAATTCAGAGCAGATATGTTTGAACCCTGTAAAAGGGGTTATGGCGAAATAGCTTATTACATGGAATCTTAACGTGGTCTGTCTTTTATTCAAACAAAAATATATATATATATATATATATATATATATATATATATATATATATATATATATATATGGTTTTGTGCATGTCGTAGTAAATAAGTTTTCCGAAAACAAAGCATGATCGTCATTCCTTTTCCATTCAGGAATTCCGTTAAATCCGCGGAATATCGCTGTTGTTATATCATGGATATAACACTGCTCATAATTGGAGAAACGTAATTGCGAGAATAAGCTCTCCTCTCTTTACAGCTGTAAGTTATATTCTAACCAATAACTGAATATATATTTCTAGCAGACAGAGGAAGCAAACATCGAGAACTCGTAGAAAAACCTAATACAAGAAAGCGGTAAGAAAATAGCAACCACCACATTTTTATGAAAACAATGTGTGGCCGTTAGCTAAAGGGGCAATCCAAACTACGAATTACACATTGGAGACATCAGAATCAATCAAGTACAGAAAATGTGACATCGAAATTCGAAGGTGCGTTGAAATAGCAAAAGATGCTTTCCAAAATCTGAACGGAGAAACAGGAAAATTTTGATTGTTGGATTGATAGAGTTATAAGTTTAGGGCGATTGTATGCTGTCCTGTGTACAAAGCGGCACGTGGTTTTGACATGTCTCTAAAACCTTTACACGCTTGCTCTTCTGAGTTTTTAGCATTTATAAGTTTAGGCAAATTGTCCAACAATCTATTGTATGGAATCAAATGCTAAGTCTGATCTCGGTTCACTTTGTCTATTTTTCTCGTTAGAATCAGTTTCACAAATTTATAAGCTTACCATTTGTCTGTGCACCGAATATTGCAGCCATATCTGGCTTGGTGGTGCTTGTGTTATATGTGTAGAGATTCTTGATAAAATCCAAAGATGAATCGGCAACGATATCGGTCCTGACCTGGCAAAAACAATCATAAATATGAATGCTGTTGTTATTTTAAGAAGTGGGTACAAATGAAAAGATTTGAAATTGACAACTTTTTCCCTATTTTTTTCTTTTTTTTTTCAATCATTTTCTCATTGAAACCAAGTAGCGTCTCTGTTTCAAAACGGAATAGTACGGTATTTATGAGGTATTGTCAGTAGATTTTAAACACTTCTATCTTCCCTTCTTTCATTTTCTCATTGAAACCAAGTAGCGTCTTTTCCCCTCTATCCACACGATCAAAACTGAATAGTCCATTATTTATGAGGTATTGGCAGGGCGTAAGGGTCGCGTGAACTACCGAAGAGAGGAACAAGCACAGTTATAATAGGCGATGTAAGACTTCCAATGAAATGTTATTAAATTATAAACATTTTTATTTTTTTAAAAGTTGATTATGCATTACCCGGGCTCATTGCAAACAGAGTAATTCTGCAGGCAAGTATCTACCGCAAGACCCTCACCCCCAATTAGTGCGCAAGTTATATCAAGGCCACACAACCAATTCTCAAAATATACCAAACGGCTAGGCACATTCATGCCAGACCTTGTATAATTATAGATAACATTTTCAGTTCACTGTCACACACAGAAAATGTCCTGTTAAGTCGATGTTGTGTTTGTTTCGTTTTATTTTTATGCTTAAGTTGAAAGTTCACAAGATGACTAGTTTGGGTCAAGGAGGGCATTTAGTCTCTCGTTAAACTTTCATTTTCTAGCCTTAAATTAAACTCAATCGTCAG